GATTGCGCCACTTGTTGGTTATCCTCCGCACCATACTGAATCACATTATGTGGTTAAAAATTTTAGCTTGAGATGTGAATGGAAGATGACCAGTTCCAAAGATTTGATTGGAGTGGGGGTCTTCTAAAGATAACATTATAACATGACTTTAATTTTCAACACAAATAAATTTGGATTTGTCTGAGTAGCTTGTGTGAAAATACTCGAGTTACATAATAGAGACCTAAATTTCCTTCTACTCTGTACGGGTTAATTATCAAATTAGTTGTCCTGCAACGGGTTTGAAGTTTTCACTACTTGAGACACATGATAAAGATATAGATAAAAATAAGACATCCATGGAGCTCTCATTGTCCACCAAAATTTCTTTTTATGCTAATAACGGGTTACTATTCCCGCATTAATTTCATTGAGTGGATCTTTGATGAAGCTTTTTTACTTCAACTTAAATTAGAATCATAAAAATAATAAAATTGATCGATACGGGACTTTCTTTGGTGTGGCTTTTTCATCTAACAATCATAAGATTTATGATATCTAGCATAAGGCCCCGCCTGCAATGGTTTTTAATTTCACAATCATTTGATGATTATTCAATAGTTATTCTTTGTTATTATTGATTTTGTTCCCAATGGGACTGCCTCCTCTTGAGAGTGTGGATTTTGAATAAACTATCGAATGTAGCCAATTTTAGATAAGTCTCTCAAGTTTCATTTTTTTAGCATCTTACCAGCGTCAGTGTGTCTCACGACTACGGTGCAAAATAGACGGTACTTAATCATGATTTCCTGTATTCGTCTTAAAGAATTATGTATTTAATAATTTTTTGATCGCGAATGACCATCAATACATTGACTAGAGATGCGTGGTGCTATTATACTCCTCTTTGCTTAATGCTCGTGTCATGTTCAACGGCGGGTTCTAGGAGGCATGTTTATTTCTTTTTTATCTCTTTCTCTGTGAAAATGAGTTTATCCATCCATTAGGTGCACTTTTACGCTTTTCATTTATTTGCTTAAAAATGCTTTTCTTATGAACGTTTTCATGACTTTCATCTGCGGAGATTTGTGGACTCTACATGATGGATAAGGTAGTTGAAGATGAATTTCACAGCTCAACGCTAGTGTCTTCTAAGTGGCTGAAGATGAATTTCAAAATGAGCTTTATTGAGTGAGTTACATTAATGATTTTATTTTACACGAACTCACATTCACTTTCAATAGTTGATACTTTATAGATCATACTTTTGCTATGAAGGTTGTAAGTGAGTCAAGTTGGCTCAAATTAACCTCATTAACAGAACTCATGAGGCGAGCTTATCAAAAATGAGTCGGCCCTATACTGAGCTTGACTTTAGGCTCGTAAGCTTGTCGAGTTTTGCTCGTTTAATTAAAATATATTTTAAAATTTAATTTCAAAATAATATAATAAAAACACATCTAAATATTTTTTTAATAATTTCTCAAAGCCAAGCTGGACCTTTTCAAATTAAGCTCACGCTTATAAATTTTTAATGAGCCAAATTGAGCTAAATATGAGCCAAACTCGGCTCTTTAAAAGAATTGAATAAATAACTTATTTAAATTATTCGCATTTTGTTTCTATATTTGTTATTACAAGTCTACTTCAAAATGCAATTGATATAATGGAATATTTGTAGTCATTATTTTAAACTATTTTGACCACTACTTCCAGAAGTTCTGAATATAGGATTTCAATATCCCTGAGGATTATTTCAAGGTCAACAAACCCCCCCCCCCCCCCCCCACCCCTCCCCCCCCCCCCCCCCCCCCCCCTCCCCCCCCCCCCCCTAGGAAAATGGTTTTTGGTGAGCTTTTTTCCCCACCAATTGCACCCTATTTAAGCAAGATTAATGCAAATGGAATATGAGGAGGCTTGCAAGAGGCTTGGTGCTCACGCTATATAAGAGGAGGAGAGATCTTAGTGTGACCGGTATGCGAAGTCGGAACAGGGTAGCAAATTTGCGCTACATGGCAAGCTTAGCAAATAAAGCACCAAAGAGGAAGTCATGAAAATATATGTAGAAGGAATATGGGTTGGTAATCAATCAAAATCAATTAACATTGAAGGAACTGAAAAATTGGTTGTAAAGAAAAAGAGGAGAGTGAAAGAGAGAAATTAGGGAGAGGTGAGATTGTGCTAAAAGAAATTGGACCATTTAGAAAAATGTTTATTAACATTTTGTAATTGATTCTTCAAAATTTATCGTAAATATGAAAAATGTGTAGTATATTATTGAATATGAGGGGAAGGGGGTTAATTAATAAGTAAAGGTCAGTTAGTTAATGGTCCCAAATTTTAGGTTGTTTTTTCTTAGTCATTTCTTTAGGGTTTATTTAGCTTGTATTGCATTGATAATAGCCTATTTTGACTATAAATAAATGTAATAGGCTGTATTACAGTCAGGCCAAAAAATAATAAAATTTTATTTCATTTTTTTTCTTTCTATCTCACCCTCTATTTGAAAAAGCCAAAAAAATAGTTTCTCTTCCTCCATCAGAGATCCTAACATATGGCCATCAAAGTTGGGAGAGTGGAGGAAGTTTTTAGCTCAAGAAATCAAATTCAGCTAGTTGTTTGGATCTGCGGACAAAAGCTCGCAAGAAAGGGTTGCGGTTCGTTGGTTTAAGCGAAAGCGATTTTAGCAAGTTGCATCCAGGTTAGGTCATCCATGATTGTGGGGCTGCAGGCGCATTGAGTAGGCCTGAGCAAGCTATCACACAAGGCGTGGCCTCACAGGGAGGCTGCGAAAGCTTTGCAAGGGTCGTCGGGGCGAGCTTGCGTGGACGGCCGTGCAAGCTTGGTGTGAAACGAGACGGACGTGGGGTAGCATGGTTTGAGCTCACAAGTTGGTCCGCGGGATGAAGCAGGTGGAGGTCGTTGTCTAGGAGTGTGTCGAAGGCGAGGATTTGGCATCACCAGACCTCGCATAAGGAGTGAAGGGTGGAAGGGCTAGCACGGGTAGAATCACAAAGTGGGTGCGGTTTGCCCAGGTGGAGTTTGGACACCACAGGTGGAGTCAATCCACATGCACCAACCTTGGGGACGGGAGTGATGGTGGCAATTCCATAATCAAGAAATTGGAAGCAATAATCACATAAAGAGAGGGCGCAAATTCTTTTTTTAGTGTTATGCTCGTGTTTCTCTAGTCAAGACACAAACCAGTGAGCAGAATTTTTTGATTATTTTCGAATGAAATTTTCTTGTGAATTAGAGCAGATGTGCTTGTTGGGGCACAGATTCAAGTTTTAGTTTCTTTGATCATGTTTGATGCAAAAGTTTGAAATCAGAAGTTCAAGGGGAAGCCTAGAACGATTGTCAGGGCCTATGGCAGCATCAAGATAAAAGTTTATTAGTTCATTCAAGGGATCTTGCCGATGCAATTTCAGAGGAAAATCTTGCGCAGTCACTGACAAGTTGGGCTTGAGAAATTGCAAATAGAAGGTAGCACAATTATTCATCTTTTCTCTCTAGTTGACGAAATGTTTGAGGGAGATTGCTGAAGAAGGCTCGACATTTTAGAGGTATGGAGGGGAAGCTCTCCTCGAATTCCAATTTATATGAAAAGTTCTCTTTACTAAGGCCTATTTTTAAAGAAACAATTATACACCTCCAAATGAAGAAACAAAGGAACTCATAAAGCATTTGGATTTTTTAATAAATTGATTCATTGACCTTAAAAAATGTTGATGTTGTGACAATGACGAAAGGAAGATTACAGGAATCATACTCCTCAACTTCCTACGAAGACATGAGAACATAGTTGAAACTATGTTGTATGGGGAGCAACATGCAATGACATAGGTAAAATGCCCTTAATGTAAAGGATGTTCATAGAAAACCTAAAAGAAAGAGATAATATTGGCGGCATTCTGATCACAACAGGGAAGATCATAATTTTCAGGAGGAATAAGTCCAACAGAAATGATCCTTTTCCACCAAGGAAGGGCACTTTAAGAAAAAATTGTCCTAATTGTTGAAACTAACAAGGAGCTCGACCTCAATTCAGTGCCAGTTTGAAGCCGTGTTAACAGCAGAATTAGAAACGGCTTGGACTGAATCAAATGTTTTGTAAAAATCTGGGGCCAAGTTGGAGATTTTTTGGGTAAATTGTCCAGATTTTAAGTGTTTCTTATGTCTTTTTCTCAGGTTTTCCAATCTAATTTTTTATTTTTTTAAATAAATAAAAATTTTAAAATATTCAAATTAACTTTTAGGTATTTTAATAATTTTTAAAAATAATTATCTCTAATAGTTGTCATCATCATTATTATGAGCCACTCACGGTCATTATTCCCTCCCAGGGGTGTCAAAATTGATTGACGGGTCGAGTTTTGGTCCGACTGGTGACTAGAATCTAGTCAACTTAAATCCATCCCGTTTAATAAATGAGTAAAAAATAACAACCTGATCGAGCCCACTAGCAACCTGAATAACCCGAGTTCAATCTGTTAATCCAATTTAGTTAAATTTTTTTAATAACTTATTAAATATAAAAGTTATGATATTTGATAAAAAAAATAATAAATGTATAACCACATATAAAAAAATTAAGGAACAAATATGTTAAATAGATCACTTTTGGAAACAAAATATGTTCGCGTGTCAACTCAAATTATGACCCATTTATTAAACATGTCAATAATAACTCGAGTTTTTCGGGTCAAATTCAAACAGGTTGGCTGAATGGATCATTATTGACACCCCAGATATCAAAGTGATCCCCAAATCAACTCATAAATAAACAAAATAGGATATTTTTAAGATATCAAATTTATTTTAGTGTCTATCAAAATATAAATAAACTTAAAAAATAAAAAATAAAAAAGTGCGGTCTTAAAGCGCCCTCCTTAGTTTATAATGGTTATGTTATCAGAAATAAGTAAATAACTATAACTATAATAAAAAAAGGGCAAACGGTGAAAGAAAGATATTTCACATTTGAGCAATTATGATTAGAAATAAAAACGTATTGAAGCGTCAAATTGAATAAAAACGTTTAGTCCAGCTATTTATTTCCTAAACCCTAAAAACGTTTTGTCGAGCTATTTATTTTCTGACAATTTCCATTCGCCTACTTTCGCCTTTCGAAGAACCGACTCGTTCAGGCTTTTATCCACGAGATAGTTTTACGCGGTAATCGCATCTCCGTCCTCTCGGTTTTGATTGCTTGTACATTTCTGTTCTCAATCTGCCATTTTTATTAGAGATTACTCTAGGTTTTCGTAAGGGGCTAGGATTTTTTGGCCTTTTATGAAGCTTTTCCGACCTTCGAGGTCATGGCGTTGTAATTTCAATCATTTTGATCGAATTTTGGTTTTCCATATGGGAGGGATGTCTTCTTCGCTTCTCGCTTAGGGTTGTTTCGAATCTCTTTAGATAATACTCTCTCTTGGGCTTCTTCCTTTTAGGAAGTGCTTTTTTAGACTCGGTTTCTTGCTTTGGAGATGCGCCCTTTATGAGAATTTTTTTCAGTCGTGACCTGTATTTTGATTAGATCTATTTTTTGTATGCCTTGCTTCCTTCTATTTGAAATGAATTTTTAGGTCTTCCGTTCCTTTGTTATGCTCTGTTATGTTAGGTTCTTCTCATAACTTCGTTACTGTAGTTGAACGAGAGGCTAAAGTTGAGATTGGGCGATGGCTGATGCTACTATGACTACTAGCCACATGTGCTACATGTGTCGGCAAAGAGTGAACCCAGTCTTGGAACCTGAGCTTAAGTGCCTTTTTTGCGATTGTGGATTTGTGAAAGAAATAGCCGGAAGGGAGGCGACTGAATCTGAAGATGCAGGATCGGGGAATGAGAGTGATACACAAGCATCCAAGAAGAAAAGAGCGAAAAAGATGTTGACAGTTACTGGCAAAGGTCATCATGTTTCTCCATCAAAGTCGCACATTCTAGAAGATGTTTTGAAACATCAATATGTTGGAAGTCGACGAATTGAAGAATTGGTGAGTTTTCATTTTCTTTTTTGCTTTTCTTTTCACACTTTTATAATAATATATATTCTTTACCATTTTTTTCTTATTGTTTCAGAAGCTGCGATATATGAATGTTGAAATTGAATTAACTAAGATCTTGGATGACTGGAACAATGAGTTTATGAAGATTAAATATATTCAGGAAAAGTACAAGAAGATGTATGATGACAAAATCAATGAGATGAAATTAATGGAGGAGCAACTAATAGAATGCAGAGCAGAATTGGCTATTATGAAAGCTTCAGCTTCTTTACATAATCAACAAATGAATCGCCTTCATATTAAGTTGGTGGATACACAAACAATGATCAATCAGTATGTGAAAGATCAGCAGATTCTTGAGGAGAAGATAGCAGCCATTGAAAATGAAAATGAGAGGCTCCAGAGTTTGTTGTCTGAGAAGGAAGCTAAGTTCAAATTAGAACAGTCACCTTCGAGAGTCATAGAAGAATTTAAGAAGTCTATTGCCTTTAAGATAATTGTCCAGGATGAGGTTCAAAAAGCTCGTGATCATATATATGATGTAGAGGTCAAGGCTTTGGAGCTAGAGAGTATGGAGAAAGGCTTTATCAGAGGTTTTCTGAAAGGTGTCCGTCTAGTACAGCGCAAGACTGGAGTTGAAGTTGAGGGGTTGACACCTAGTCAAGCTTCTCGTGATTCTTCTTCAGATTCAGATGATGATGAGATAGAAAGTGAGTTACCTTAAACCTTTGCCCTCGATGAGGATGATGATGTTTAGATTATACAGTGATTCTCTGTTGTTGGTTATATCACTTTATATGTTTCTGTGATTATTACTTTTATTTGATACTGATGTTTTTATATGTTGTATATGATATGTTTGGTTATATATCAAAAAGTTGTTGATGTTCTTTTCTTTTCTTCCTTATATACATATAAATTTAAATTATTATGATGAGAAATATTTTAGTGGGCTCACTTTGACTTGAGCAAATGTGAGAAATATTCTCCCAGGATATTTGACATATCAGAAGTTGTTAGTCAAAATTTTTATTTGATGAAGTTAACCTATATGAAAGAGGTCAGATCAAATCCCTCTATAATTGATCTTCCAGTAATTGAGATATAAGATATTATCCTATTATGTTTGACATATCCGAAATTGTATGTCACAGTATTGTTGGATGACATTAACATATATGAAAGAGGTCAGATCAAATCCCCCTGAGATTAATCTTCCAATGATTGATACACAATAAAGATTATATATTTCTCAAATCAAGGATTTTATGATTTGATTAACATCCTTTAAAGATGTTTGGCCTATATAAGGTTGTATGTCCTAGCGTTACTTGATGACATTAACCTATATGAAAGATTTTGGATCAAATCTCCTTAGGATTGATCATCTAGTGATTGAGACACAATACAGATTGTATATTTGTCAAATCATGGATAAAGATATTAGATTCATTGTTAATTGTCATTTTTTATCCTTTTTAAATAAGGAGATAATATTAGAATAGAATGAACAACATATTATTGTATTATGTAAGACAATACAATAATCCCTTAGTATGATTTAGGAATTTTAGAGTTACACTATGCTCAACACATAAGGGATAAATACGGAGACTACACAATAAATTATGAGAAAATACATGATATAAGATAAACAGTACTATCAACAACTATTGATAATACTTATGAACTAAATACATGGGATATTCGAGCTACACCATATTTAACATAGACGAGATACATGATGACACAAGACGAGTAGTATTATTAACAAAAATACCCAAATTGTATAATCATTTAAGGGTGTTCTTCTGATATGGATATAGAAGTGAGTTCTTCCACGAGAGAAGCCATCTAAGGGGTATCTTCGTTTTAAAGATCAAAACCATCGATGCTCAGGGTAATTGATGGGCGTGGTAAGTGGTTGAACCTGCTTAAGATAACAGGATTGCGCCACTTGTTGGTCTCCTCGCACCATACTGATCACATTATGGGTTAAAAATTTTAGTTTGAGATGTGGAATGGAGATGACAGTTCCAAAGATTGATTGGAGGGGTCTTCTAAAGATAACATTATAACATGACTCTAATTTCAACACAATAAATTGGATTGTCTGAGTAGCTTGTTGTGAAAATTCTCTGAGTACAAATAGGAGACTAAATTTTCCTTCTACTCGTACGGGTTAATTATCAAAATAGTTGTCCTGCAACGGGTTGAAGGTTTTCACTAGTGAGACACATATTGAGAAAAGTATAGATAAAATAAGACATCCATGGAGCTCTCATTGTCCACCAAAATTCTTTTGATGCTATAATACGGGTTACCTATCCCCGCATTAATTATGAGTGGATCTTGATGAGAGCTTTTACTTCAACTTAAATTAGAATCATAAAAAATAATAAAATGATCGATACGGGACTTCTTTGGTGTTGGCTTTTCATCTACAATCAATAAGATATGATTAGGCAATAAGGCCCCGCCTGCAATGGTTTTAATTTCACAAATCATTTGATGATTATTCAATAGTTATCTTTGTTATTATTGATTTTATTCCCAATGGGACTTGCCTCCTCTTGAGCAGGTGGATTTTGAATAAACTATCGAATGTAGCCATGTTAGATAAGTCTCTCAAGTTCATTTTTTAGCATCTTACATGCGTCAGTGGTGTGCTCACGACTACGGTGAAAATGACGGTATTAATCATGATTTCCTGTATTCGTCTTAAAAGAATTATGTTATTTAATAATTTTTTGATCGCGAATGACCATCAATACATTGACTAGAGATGCGTTGAGTGCTATATACTCCTCTTGTTAATGCTCGTGTCATGTCAACGGGGGTCTAGGAGGCATGTTATTCTTTCTTTATCTCTTTCTCTGTGAAAATGAGTTATCCATCCATAGTGCACTTTTACGCTTTTCATTTATTTGCTTAAAATGCTTTCTTTGAACGTTTATGACTTCATCTGCGGAGATTTGTGACTCTACATGATGGATAAGGTAGTTGAAGATGAATTTCACAGCTCAACGCTAGTGTCTCCAAGTGGCTGAAGATGAATTTCAAAATTGAGCTTTATTGAAGTGAGTTACATTAATGATTTTATTTTACACGAACTCACTCACTTCAATAGTTGATACTTTTAGATTCATACTTTTGTATGAAGGTGTAAGTGAGTCAAGTTGGCTCAAATTAATCTCATTAACGAACTCATGAGGCGAGCTTATCAAGAAATGAGTTCAGCCTATACTTGAAATTGACTTAGCTCATAAGCTTGTCGAGTTGCTCGTTTTTAATTAAAATATATTTTGAAATTAATTTCAAAATAATATAATAAAATATATCTAAATATTTTTAATAATTTCTCAAGTCAAGCTCGACCTTTTCAAATAAGCTCACGCTTATAAATTTTTTAATGAGCCAAATTTGAGCTAAATAAATGAGCTCAAACTCGGCTCTTAAAAAGAATTGAATAATACTTATTAAATTATCGCATTTTGTTTCTATATTTGTTATACAAGTCTACTTCATAAATGCAATTTGATATAATGGATATTTGTAGTCATTTTTTAAACTATTTGACCACTAGCTCCAGAAGTTCTGATATAGGATTTCAATATCCCTTGAGGATTATTTCAAGGTCAACAAACCCCCCCTAGGAAAATGGTTTTTGGGAACTTTTCCCCACCAATTGCACCCTATTAAGCAAGATAAATGCAAATGGATTGAGAAGGCTTGCAAGAAGGCTTGTGCTCACGCTATAAAGAGGAGGAGAGATCTTAGGTGACCGGGCGAGTCGGTAGCAAATTTGCGCTACATGGCAAGCTAGCAAATAAGCACCAAAGAGGGAAGTCATGAAATATATATGTAGAAGGAATGGGTGGTAATCAATCAAACAATAACATTGAAGAAACTGAAAATTGGTTGTAAAGAAAAAGAGGAGAGTGAAAGAGAGAGAATTAGGGAGAGGTGAGATTGTGTAAAATGAAATTTGGACAATTTAGAAAAATGTTTATTAACAATTTGTAATTGATCTCAAAATTTATCGTAAATATAGAATAATGTAGTAGTATATATTGAATATGAGGAAGGGGGTTAATTAATAAGTAAAGGTCATGTTAGTTAATTGGTCCAAATTTTAGGTTGTTTTTCTTAGTCATTTCTTTAGGTTTATTTAGCTTGTACTGCCATTGATATAGCCTATTTTGACTATAAATAAATGTAATAGGCTGTAATACAGTCAGGCCAAAAAATAATAAAATTTAATTTCATTTTTTCTTTCTATCTAACCCTCTATTTGAAAAGCCCAAAAAGAGTTTCTCTTCCTACATCAAGATCCTAACATATGACATCAAAGTTGGGAGGTGGAGGATATTTTCTAGCTCAAGAAATGAAATCAAGCTAGTTGTTTGGATTTGCGGACAAAAGGCTTGCAAGAAGGGTTGGGTCGTTGGTTAAGCGAGCGATTAGAGCAAGCTACAGCCAGGTAGGTCATCCATGATTATGCGGGCTGCAGGCGCAGCGAGTAGGCCTGAGCAAGCTATCACACAAGGCGAGGCCTCACAGGGAGGCTGCAAAGCTTGCAAGGTCGTCGGGCGAGCTTGCGTGGACGGGCGTGCAAGGCGAACGAGATGGACTCGAGTAGCATGGGTTCAAGCTCACAGGTTGTCCGTGGGATGAAGCAGGTGGAGTTGTTGTCTAGGAGTGTGTGAAGGCGAGGTTTGGCATCACAGACCTCGCATAAAGGAGTGAAGGTCGAAGGCTAGCAGGTAGAATCACAGTGGTGCGTTTTCCAGGAGGTTGGACACCACAATTGGAGTCAAGCCACATGACCACACTTGGGGGTGGCAATTCCACAATCAAGAAATTGAAGCAGATCACATGAAGAGAAGGGCGCAATTCTGTGTATATGCTCGGGTTCCTCTAGTCAGACACAACCAGCGAGCAGAATTTTTTGATTATTTTCGATGAAATCTTGTGAATAGGAGCAGATTGGTGTTGTTGGGGCACAGATCAAGTTTTGGTTTCTTGATCATGTCGATGCAAAAGTTTGAAATCGAGAAGTTCAAGGGGGAGCTAGAACGATTTCAGCCTATGGCAGATCAAGATAAAGGCTTTATTAGTTCATCAAGGTCTTGCCGATGCAATTTTAGAGGGAAATCTTGCTGCAGTCACTGACAAGGTCTGGGCTAGGGAAATGCAACTGAAAGCACACGGTATCATCCTTTTCTCTCTTGTTGACGAAGTTTTGAGGGAGATTGCTGAAGAAGGCTCGACATTAGAGGTATGGAGGAAGCTTGAATTAATTTATATGAAAAGATCTCTTACAAATGGCCTATTTTTTAAGAAATAATTATACACGCTCCAAATGGAAGAAACAAAGGAACTCAGAAAGCATTTGGATGATTTTAATAAATTGATTCTTGACCTAAAAAATGTTGATGTGACAATTGACGAAGAAGATCAAGGAATCATACTCCTCAACTCTCTACCGAAGACATGAGAACATAGTTGAAACTATGTTGTATGGGAAGCAAACATTGGCAATGACATAGGTAAAATTTGCCTTAATGTCAAAGGATGTTCATAGAAAACCTAAAAAGAAAGAAGATAATATTGGCGGCATTCTGATCACAACAGGAAGATCATAATTCAGGAGGAATAAGTCCAACATGAAATGCTTCCTTTGCCACAAAGGAAGGGCACTTTAAGAAAAATTGTCCTAATTTGTTGAAACTACAAGGAGCTGGACTCAATTCAGGTGCCAGTTTAGCCGTAACAGCAGAATTAGAAGACGGTTGGACTGAATCAAATGTTTTGTAAAATCTGGGCCAAGTTGGAGATTTTTGGTTAATTTGTCCATATTTTAGGTTGTTTTTCTTAGTCTTTTCTTTAGGT